TGACGCTGCGGCTGTCGGAGCTCTCGCCCTCGCCCTCTCCCTCCGAGGGGGAGTTGGGCCTGCTCATCTCCTGCAGGGAGAGGCGACCACTGAGCCCGGGACCAGCACTCCAGGTGTGCTGCAGATTGGGGTCTGTCACACTGTGCAGACACAGGTGCCCTCTGAACCCCACAGGGCCAAACCAGCACAGGAACACAAACACCCACGGGAAGAGCAAAGACAGCAGAACCAGATCCCGCAGTGCCCAGGGGCAACAGGAACAAACTGAAATACAGGAGGGGTCCTGCTGAACATAGCAAAACACTCCTTCACTATGAGGGTGACCAGCAACGGAAAAGATTTGTGACAACTCCAGTGGTGGTCTTCTAACTTGTCAGAGACAAAACCCCAAATTTAAATTTACAAAAAATGGAGGAAAGGAGTGGAGAACAATCCAGTGTACTCCTATAAGGTTGATATTAATATTAAAACAAAGAAAAAAACCAACTTCTGGACTCACCCCGTATCACTCCACTGTTTTCAGCAGAAGGAACACATTATAACATTGGTCGCTTTCCAGCCACAAGATTAAGTTACAATTTGCTGTGGCTTAAATTGATTTAATGTTTTTGGTTTGTTACCAGATTTGCACCCCCTCCCCACCTCAAACCATTCTGCTAAGAGGAAACACTCCTGTGTGGGACTCACTTGAGTTTTGGATTTTTTGGCATTGGACCTGTCAGGTTCCTCCGTGTCAGACGCTGCCTTCTCCCGCTGCCTCTTGGAGTTCTTGAGAGGAGAAGAAACCTCTTCCTTTATCTTCTGCCACAAAGGGAACAGAACACAACACTTACCAGTGGTGTAAATGCAAAGGTAAGTTGAGTGTAGGCCAGTGCCACCCTATTAACACAAATTAAGGAGCAGCAGAACTCAGGGGTTGGCACAGTCAGTATTTAAGAGCACTCCAATGCACATCAAACTAGTAGGAAAAAGTCAAAGTGCACAAAGCATTCCTCATATGAAGGGGTATTTTAAAGAGAGCTGGGCAGAACCAAGTCCATCAGGAAATCACAGCAGACCCAGGTTACCCTTCCAACATAGACCAACACCAGTTATTAACTGGTGCAAGACAGAGCCAGAATTTCTGCAGGAGACAGGATAAACCTCCTTCTGCTGCATGCAAGTCTTGCTCTACTCTTGATATTTTGAGAGGAATATTTTTAGATCCCCTCAAATACAGGGCCAAGAGTGAATAGCTATTCTGAGATTACTACCTTCTCCCATGGCCTGGAAAAGCTCTGTGCATCACATAATTACCTAACTTTAAATTCTGCCGAGTTTTCAGTTTTATAATGTGAAAACTTACTCCATGCTCATTTTGACTTTTTTTAATCTGTGTAATATTTATTTTTAACTTGCTGCTTCTCAATTCACACTGCTTAATGGTAAGCCTTCAGCTTCATGTGGCTTTGTTTCTTTAGAGCTCCCTTGGAAAGGCACTCAATTCATTTGAACAGACTCAACTGTCAGCTTGCTCTGAACAATCAAACAAATACACCTCCAGAAAACAGTAGCAGAAGCAGACTCAATTACTAAATGCTCATACTCCTTTGTAAACAAAGATTAAGTACTGCTTACAAAAAATCCCCAAAACTGTCTACTAGTCTTAAATTCAGCATTTCTGATCTGCATTACTCCCCTGAGCTTAATGCTTACATTTGCATCTGAAGTGGAGGGATTACTTTACTGTGAGAGCAGGGAGGTGATGTGGGGAGGTTGGATCACTCCCATCCCTCCCTGGCCAGCTCCAGGCTGGCCCACACTCTGCCTTCTCCACACTCACGGGGTTTTTGGGTCATGGAGAGATTGCCCAGCCTCCTGTACCAGTCTGAGAGGCCTCAGGTGTGCAGCCCTGGCTGGGGGAGCCCAGGGAAGGGTTAACTGTCTGAGAGGCCTCAGTGAGCAGCCCATGGGAAGGGTTACCTGCCCAAGGCAGCCCAGGGAAGGGTTACCTGTCTGAGAGACCTCGGTGTTCAGCCCAGGGAAGGGTTACCTGTCTGAGAGACCTCAGTGAGCAGCCCATGGGAAGGGTTACCTGCCCATGAGAGCCCAGGGAAGGGTTAACTGTCTGAGAGGCCTCAGTGTTCAGCCCAGGGAAGGGTTACCTGCCCAGGAGAGCCCAGGGAAGGGTTACCTGTCTGAGAGATCTCAGTGAGCAGCCCATGAGCCCATGGGAAGGGCTACCTGCCCAAGGCAGCCCAGGGAAGGGTTACCTGCCCGAGAGGCCTCGGTGTTCAGCCCATGGGAAGGGTTACCCGCCCAAGACAGCCCAGGGAAGGGTTACCTGCCCGAGAGGCCTCTCCTGGCCGGGACAGCCCAGGTGTGGGGTTACCTTGGTGGATTTCTTGACGGACTCGGCCTTGCTGTCGTTGCTGGAGGTGCTGGCGGCGCTGGGCGAGTTGCGGCCGCTGGAGCGCACGTCCTCGGCGATGGGCGAGGCGCGGCCATCGGGGCTGGCCGCCTGCTTCTTCCTGCCACTGCGTAGAGTCGACATCTGGGGACAACAGCCCGGTCAGCTCAGCACTGAGGGGCCCCTCAGAGTGCTCTGCCTTGGCAGGGCCATGGGGGGCACAGCCCGGGCACAGCCTGGCACCAAAAACCTGCAGCGTTTGTGCACTTCATCCTTCAAAGCCCAACCGGACTCAAATGTAAAAGGAGGCAAATCCTAATTCTGCCTACTCACAAGCATTAAGTGCTGATTATTTCATCAGCAGTGGCTGTTAGAAATGGCATTTAGGAAGATGTTCCCATACACAGCACACACACAAGGGGGCAGAGGCAGGAGAGGATCTTCATGTTCCATTAAAAATGCTCCATCTGCTGGCAGTCAAGGCAAAGGCCTAAACCCCAGTTCCAGCGTGCTCCTGCTATGCTTTAGAAAGCACAAAGCTCTATCTCACTATCTACTCCATCAGTAAGGGATCAGGAGAGTACATTTCAATAATTAATGCTGTTTCCCTGCCAGTTTGGCAGCTTTTTGGAGGACTGACTACGAAAAACAACACTCCCCAAGAGTGGAGCCTCACGAGGTATTTACAATCAATGGTCACATCATCCTCTTCAGAAAGACAGAGAGGGGAGGGCAAGGAAAGAAATCTATCTGCTGCTTTCCCTCAGCTAAACCCAACTCCACGATAAATCATCCAGAGCTGCTCCTGGTGCCTCACCCGAGTCACAACTTGGAGCACACCAACCACAGAGGCAAAGCAGAGCTCTCTGGAGGGAAGAGGCTTCAACTCCAGTAACATGAGGAGACCACATGAACACCATCTGATTTTTTTAACCCCTCCCAAGGGCATAGCTCTGACAGGATGCAGCTGGAAGGAGGACATGCACTAGCACAGGATCTGCAATGCACTGCCAATGCCCCCTCATGGTGACAGCCCACTGCCAGTCACGACAGAGAAATAACACAGCTTGCAGGGACATTCCATCCCCTTTTCCAGAGACAGCTCAGCCTCAGCAAAGCTCCCCCTGGCACACACAGGCAGCAGGAGCAGCTCAGCCCGTGGCAAACCAGTTCAGGGCTCTGGCTCCCTTTCCCCCTGCACTGAGGAGGGCGAAACGCACCGAGCCTCGACTGCGCCGTGTCCTCATGCTATGCTTCCCACTGAGGCCATCGTCTTCCTCCTTCACAGGCTTGAACATAAAGGGCGGGGGGTCCACGGGCTTCTCGATGGGCGGCAGCTCCCCGTACTTCTTGAAGTGGATGCGGCAGTCGGTGCACAGCAGGATGTTCTCCCGGCCCCCGTGGTGCCAGTCCTTGGAGGCTTGGGGCAGGGAAAGCAACAGCTCAGCACCCACACAGCACCCAGCCCAGCACAAACACAGGGAATTGTTAAAAAGTACAGCTACAAAAGCAGAGTTGGACAAGTTTCTGGAAAAGTCTGTCCTGTCCCAGCGCACATCCTCAATATTCAATTTTTACCAACTATGGTTGTTTGTTTAAGAAACTCCAGCTTTGAGGCACAGAAAGAAACCTTATCTGCTCTACCTGGGAGCTAACAAGCAGCTGTTGTTCTTCAAAGCTGTGGTTTCTGCAAGAGAAGTGAGCTCTGAACCTCTCATTTCCTTCCCCATTCTGGGGCTTCCACTTTGAGCTGCAAATGCCCCAGCACCAGACAACCCTTGGGAGCAGCCACAGCAAGGGGGCTGATGCACAGGAGATTTGCTGCAGCACCAGGAAGCTCTGTGTGTGACAGCCACAGCCCAACAGTGACTCATTATGTCCCAAATTGATTACAGAGATTATGGATTATGCAGATTTACTCCTGTCTAAATGTCTACCTCGGGCCCCCCCTTTGTCACCGCAGCATTAATTTGCAATGGCAAAGCCTGATTAACTCTGCTGGGAACGCTGCATATTCCAGCTGAGAGCAGCTGTCCCAGCTCAGAGCTGCTCGTGCTGGCTGCCAGCCCCAGGGAGCAGGGGGAGCCCAGCAGGGATGGCACTGGCACTGGCACTGGCACGTACTGGTGGTGAAGCAGTGGCGGCAGGCGTAGCCCTTCAGCTCCTGCTCGCTGTCCTCGCTGTCAAAGTCATCCTCACTGGCCGAGCTCAGGTCCACTGAGGGTGGGAGAGAGGAAAATGGAAAATCAACACGCAGCAGGGTTTTCTATTTCCTCCTACTTGGCTAAAATAAGCACTGAGTGGAATGGATCGTGACTCCCCACGCCCACCCTGCCTTGCATGGCCATTATTGCTGGCTTTTCACACTGAGCAAAGCCAGATCTCATCACGCTGCAGGATCAAGAGGATCCCGGGAATGTGCCAAGGGACACAACTCCTGGATCCTCTGATTCACCACGTGCTACATGTCCAGGTAAGTTGTCATTCAAATACTATCCATGGGGAGTTCAAGAGGCTGTGTTCCAAACCCACAATTTTCAAGAGAAAAGGCAATTATCTCTAGAATCTGGTCAAATTTGAAATAAAATATTCTACATTTAAAACCTACAATATCCCATGAACAGGCCCTGTAGTAGCTTTTCTGGTTTTTATTTTGTTACCAGCAGCAGAGGTGTTTGTGGGTGGAGGAATCAATGCTTACATACCATGGACCTGTTTGAAAAACATGTTGAGATCCTTTTGCATGAGAGGCACTAAAGGATAACTAACACCAGCTCTCCTGTCCTTAATGCAGGACTCAAAGTTTTAACCTGTGGCACACTCACACTGCAAAAATGTCATGTTCTGAAGAAAAAGAGAATATGCAAAGGGTCCCTTTCCTCTGTGGCAAATTAGCTGATTACACATCTACGAGCTCAAAAGCAGCATCTAAAGCACTGAAAATATGCAGACATCACAAAAGCTGTATCTTACCTTCTAAACACCTCAGGAGTAAATATTTCCCTTTTGAGAGCACTGCATTTTTCTAGTCCCACCACTATAAATTCACAACATAACAGGGCTATAATTTGGCACAAGCAGGAAGCCCTGAGGCTTCTTCTGTTCTAATCTTTAATTAGAAGAGAGGTCCTTGATACAGGAACAGTGTTTTTCTAAAGGCTCCAAGAGGATGTTTTGTACATGCAGGTTACAGTTTATGGATTACAGCTCACAGATTCTCCTGTACTTGCCATCAGCATTTGTCAGCAACTCATTACCCTTCAAATTAACACAGGGTTACATTTAATAGCTACCACTGCCCCGATTCCTACATTAATACTTGCAGGTGCTCAAACCCTGACTGCAGAGCTGACCCCAGGCTAGCACCTGCTTTCTTTTGCTAAATGAATTGTGATTCTCATCCTGCAGCCAGGTCCATAGGATGGCTCCCCCCAGCCACAAGCTCTCACATGCTGAGCATCTGGGACTGAGCAGTGGAGTCCAGATCCTCACTCCTTGTGCACAGAGGGACCAGCAGTAAATCCCACCAGCTCAGCAGGGAAAGCTCCCAGCCCTTTCCTGCTCCTTACCCTGGGACAGAATTCTGTGTCCAGCCTGCCCACCACATCCTCCACCTGCCCTGGTCATTTTTACATCTGCCCATCTGCCTCCCACAGCCCCTTTTCTCTATGAGGGTTTAGGAAGATTTAAACCTCCCAGGGTAACAAACCCTTCCCATTTGGACAAAGCTTTCTGTCCCTGTAGGGACCCTGTGCAAGGCAGCAGGCACTGCTTTGGGGAATTGCTTTGGGTTGGACACTTCTGCTCCAGGCAAGGCCACTGCTCCTCCAAGGCTGCCTGAGACAGTCTGAGCTCCAGCAGAGGGTAGGGATCACCCAGCAGGATGGAAGGGATTTCTTTCCAAAGACAGGGAGCACTTCCTTCCTTCTGTGCTTCCCAATCCCCATGACTGTAACAAGCCTGGAGAACATACACCACAGCACCAAGAAAAAGAGCAGGGAAACCCAACCCCAGGGCAGCATTCCCATCCTCACAGGACGCTCTAATGCCAAAGGCCTGCACACGGCCCTGGCTGACCAAGGCCCCGTTGCAGCAGCACGGTGCAGGTGCAGGGGCAGGGAGGGCGGCTGCCCCAGCCCCATTTCCCCCTGTCCCTGGGATGTGTGGCACCGTCCCCTGCCCAGCAGTGCCCAGCGGGGCCGCACTCACAGAACTCGCTGGAGGGGGGCCTGGAGGGGGTGTTGACGGGCGTGGAGGCCGTGCGGGTTTTGATCCTGCGGAACACGGCCTGGCGCCGGTGCCGCCGGTGCGCGCGCGAGCTCGCCGCCTCGGGGGTCTTCTTCCAGTAGTAATAGAAGGTGATCAGCTCCCCCTGCAAGCACAAACAGCACAGAGCGCGGGGTCAGAGGGACCTGCAAACCTGCCTGCCAGCCCCCTGCCTCCCCTGCCTCGCTGGGATTTTCCCAGCAAGAATCATGATGGATTTCAGCCAGAAAAAGAGAACTGTTCAGGGAAGACACACAAAAAGCACTTATTATTTTCTGCCTGCTTTTGCAGGGAGGAAAATAAGTAAATAAATGTTTTTTCACTCCTCCCCTAGGAGAGGAAAGAGGCTGGAAAGTACCAGGAGCCAGCCTCCACCTGGATGCCTCAGAAGAGGGTGCCCTTGTGTCACTGTCAGCGGGCCCTGGCACTGAGCTCTGACAAACACCCTAGATATGACAGCCACCCCAAACGTGACAGACACCCCAAACCTGACAGACACCCCAAACCTGACAACAGCCACCCCAAACCTGACAGACACCCCAAACCTGACAGGCACCCCAAACCTGACAGGCACCCCAAACCTGACGACAGGCACCCCAAACCTGACGACAGGCACCCCAAACCTGACAACAGCCACCCCAAGCCTGCCCCAGCTCCTGCTGTCCACAGTCAGAACAAGGCTCAGCCCAAGCACACTCTGCCACTTTGTCAGCCGTTGTTCAATATTGTCTGTAAGGAGCTCAAAGTTTGAGTACAAACATGTTCAACAACAAGTCTATAACCGTAACACAACCCCACCACACTAAATCGTGTTTTAATTTGAATATACATACCCACATCTAAATTAATTAAGCAGTTAAAAGAGCACACCTAGAGAAATGAGTGATAATTTCACAGCATAATGAATCTGGCTTACATTCAGGAAGTGCAGCAGCTGCCATTCAAACCTGGGTTTGCAAGGCTGAACCAAAGAACAGCATGTGGTTTTAATCTCTTTTCTCTTACTTTGAAACCCCATCATTTCCTGGCGACTTGTCTGCCTCTAAGGTAAAAGGTGTTGTTGCTTTCAAGTTGCAAGGGAAAAACGGAGAACTTCTAACCAGCCCCTTGAAAAAAATCAACATCAGAACAAACATACCTGAACTGCCCACAAAAAGGGTTTCTTTGAACTGTGTTTTGTGTGATCAAATAACCTCAGCCTGCTGCCTCCGTGGGGAAACGCTGCAGCCCCTGCTCCGGGCAGAGCAGGAGTTAACTCCAATAACGACCCTGCCTGAATCCAAACCCTCCCCAGGGCCCCAAACAGGCAATTACAGCCACAGCCAATACCTGCACCACTGAAACGCTGCAAAGACAAAGGGAGGATGTTGTTCTAGACATTAACTGCTGACATTTAAGACACTTAAGAATTTTACCAGTGCCTAATTTAAAAATAGAAACCCCAGAAGAAAGAACACGACCACATTCTGGCAATAGGCAGAACAGATCATTTTTAATCTGTGCTGCCACAGACTGGGATGATGCTGCTGATCCCCACCATGGAACTGTGCTTGTGTGTTTCATGTATTAAAATAACAAATATTCACAGTGACGGCTGGGGAGGAGGAGCAAGTGGGCAAAACGTTACCTACAATTCTTGATTCTGAAGGACTAAAACCCTACTAAGAACATTAAAAACGTGTTTCCTGCAGAGGATCTGAAGCTGCCTGGTGCTGGGCACACAATGCTCACGGCAAAGTGGGCAGAGGAGCAGCTCTGAGCCAGCACCCTGCTCTGCCCTGCCTGTTTGCTTTAGAAATGCCATTTCCCTGAGCCCATCCAGGGGGCCCAAAGCCCACCCAGGACAGCTGTTTGTCCCCTTGGGGCTGTGCTGTGCCAGGGCCAGCCTGGGCTCTGCAGGGAGGCTTTGGCAATGCTCTGCACAGGCTCAAAGCCTCCTGCAAATGAAACCAGTCGCTTTTTACCTATAAATTCATTTGTACCAAATCTGAGGTGTCAGCACCAAGGAGCAAGTCAGTAAATCCCATGTCTTTATGTCAGTGAATGAATGTGTCCTCTGACACATGGCAACAGCAGAGTGGGAGCCAATCTGTTCTCCTCCCATCATAAAACAGGCAATGGGAACCTATTAGAGCTCCATTTACACACTGCAAAGCCATCAGGTCCCGAGGGAAGTTTAACAATTTATACATGCAGATCATAAAGCAAAGTTTAAAAAAGAAACTGTGGATATTTATAGAAAATGCCAGCCTCATGACCATAATGCTTTTTTTCCCTTGAGACTGGCTCAGAAGTGCAGTCACAACTGCACAGGGATAAAGATCAAGTCAAAGTCTATTTATCCAACAACCAGTTTTACCCCAGGTAAAAGGACCAAAGAATGAAAGGACCAAAGAACGCTCTGTGCCTGCAGTTCCTGCTCAGAGTGCACAGTGCAGCACTCAGGAAAGGGCTCAGGGAGCACGAGAGCACTCAGAGGGGCAGCACACACAGAATGCCAGGTTACCACTGAAACAATTCCCTGCAGGATCCCCTGGGCTGCCTAGGATGCCACTGTGTGCCCAGGGATAACTGCTGGGGTTCAGCCTGGCAGCCTCAGCCCCTTCCTGATGCCACTGTGTGGGCTCAGCCTGGCAGCATCACCCCCATGCTGCTGCCCATCCCAATGCCACTGTGTGCCATGGCATTACCTGCTGGGGCTCAGCCTGGCAGCATCACCCCCTCCTGCTGCCCATCCTGGTGCCACTGTGTGCCATGGCATTACCTGCTGGGGTTCATCCTGGCAGCATCACCCCCTTTCTGATGCCACTGTGTGGGGGTTCAGCCTGGCAGCATAACCCCCATGCTGCTGCCCATCCTGATGCCACTGTGTGCCCAGGGATAACTGCTGGGGTTCAGCCTGGCAGCCTCAGCCCCATCCTGATGCCACTGTGTGGGCTCAGCCTGGCAGCATCACCCTCATGCTGCTGCCCATCCTGATGCCACTGTGTGGGCTCAGCCTGGCAGCATCATCCCCTCCTGCTGCCTGCATGGGTGGCACAGGCTGGAGCACAAAGGGCTGAGTCAGGCAAGCACTGGCTCCCCAAACAGGGAGCAAAACCAGCTCCCAGCCTCACTGCAAGAAGTCAAATGAGCTTTAATCAAACATGCACAGTGCGTGCTGCTGAAAGCCAGGGCACATAAATTCAGGAACAAAAGCTGCTGCAGAAATCAATAGCCTCCTGAAACATTAACACAGGCCAGCATTGATCAAAGGCCCTGGGACAAAAGGCTGCCTTGCAAATTAGCTGCTGCCTTTGCTTGCAAGCAAACACAGAGGCATGAGCGCTGTGACATGAATGGCCTGTAATGATGGTTTTGTTCGGGTGATCTCACCTCGGCTCACCACAAGGTCTCGCAGTCAGCACATCCCACATCCCTGAGCCGTGCCAGCCTGGCAGGGCTGGGCAGCTGCTCCAGAGCTCTTTTTGTGGCTCCCAGGCCATCAGCAGGGCCGGCCTGCCGTGCCAGCCTGCAAACACAGCAGTGTCCTTGTCCTGGGCTGCTCTGGGCAGGCTGGCCATGGCTGCAGCACAGCAGAACCAAGGCACAGCAACAGCCTGGCTATCCCATCCCTGAAGATGCTGCCAATGCCCTCCCAAACCATCTCCAGGCCCAGCTTTCTCTTTTCCAGCACTGTGGGAGCAGATTCCATTCCCCTCCTGGTCATGCAGCCTCACCTTCCCTCCACACACCAGCACCTCTCCTTTCCTGCACACACAGCTCCGTGTTTCCATGTTAACATCTGATTAACTGTCCCCAACACTCAGAAAGCAAAATGAGAAGCATTATTCAGGCTTTTAACGGCACATTTCCCTGACAACACCGACATTCCCAAGTTTCACAAGGCAGAGGGGATTATGTTCCTCACTAAAAACACCAGTTCAGCTTTCAGCAGCTCTGAAATGCACGCAGAGCTCTCACTCCAGTCCCCTGCCTGCTCCTGCCAAGGCCATCTCACCCTCCTCGTAGGTGCATATACAGAAGTCACACTTCATCTCCTTTCAGCTCTGTTCTGCAGGCTATTTCTGCACAGGGAGATGATTCTGCAGGCTATTTCTGCACAGGGAGATGAGGCTCAGGCCCCTCTGCAGGACTCACAGCAGGGAGGTTTCTCTGCACTTCTGGAGTGCTCTCAGCCCTCACCTGCCCCAGCAGGGCCTGTCCTGGCCAGGGGCCACCTCTGCCCTGCCTGTCCCATCCTGCCACTCCCACCTGGCCCTTCTGCCAGCTCCATCCTTCCCCCAGCACATCACCCCCACCAGAGCAGCCCCTCTGCCTGCAAACCCTGCTTTTCCATTTCTGATCAGCAGTGCTCCAATGTAAAAGCCACAGCCTGAGCTGTTTGTGTTCAGTCCTGCCTGGCACACAAAGGGTCAGGGCTGGGTGTGCATCCCTGGACAGGAGGGCTCTGACAGCTCCTGCACAAGCCAATCCCACACACACCAACTTCCCTGCAAGGATCTGTTAGGGTATAACACAGTGAGCAAACACAATAATTGCTGTTTAATTTCCCCAGAGCCGAGCTCTGACAGGGAAAAAAAAAAAAAAAAATCATGGGGGAGGGGAATAGCTTTGCAGTAATGAAAGAGAAAAGGTAAATGACAGCACTGCTCACTGGCTGCAAAGCCATGGCAGAGCAGGGGGAACACACTGTCCAGCTGTGGCCTTAATGAATTCACAATCTTTCTGGAATGCCTCAAGATTTTATTAAGTCAACTCAATTTAGCTAATACTTATAAAGTCCTGCAGTAAGAACAGTCTCCAGTGCTTCCCCTGATGCCCTGGCACAGGCTGTTCCCAGCATCTGCCCAGGGCAGGAGCAGAACACGGGTTTGGAGCATGGCAGAGCTCAGTGGAACACACTGAGCCTGGGCAGGTCACAGATAACCCAGGACACTGCCCTGCACACCAGGAGACAGAACTGAGAGCACCCATCCCTTCCATCACCCAGCCAGGGCAGCGGGGAACCAGCACCCACACGGGTGCAGGTGGCACCTGGGACGGGGCAGGGGGGAACCAGCACCCACACGGGTGCAGGTGGCACCTGGGACAGGGCAGGGGTGA